ATATGGATGATACCGGGGAGGAGGATGAGGTGGAGATGGAGGGTAGTAGAGAGAAAAAGAAGAGAAAGCAAAAGAACTACAAGGCATGGAAGTGTTTAGAAAAAAGAGGGAGAATAAAAGGAAGAAAGCAGCATCCTGACACAGCGCTTTCCTTCAGCTGCCCCTTTCCCTGTGGTCCAAGGTAGAAATGGGAAACAAGTCCTGTTGCAGTGAGAGGGCAGCTGCTGTCAGCCAGTCTCTGTCTTTACCTGGGTCCTGATCTGAGCTGGGGGTGGGAAGAGAAGCAGCCATGGGGGCAGGAGACGTCCCTCAGAGGGGTGAGGGTTCAGGCCTCTGCAAAGTTGGGGGGGTGAAGGTCTGTGCCCCACCTCTGTTGACCCCCAAGTTGTCTCCTGATGGCCCCTCTGTGACTGTGCCTGTCTTAGGTTGATCCTTCCCTGAGGAATCTTACCCTTCTCTGGCTAACCAGCCATCCTCCGGGGCCAACCAGGGTGATGTGAGGTGTGCGAATGAGGGAGGGGCAGCGCCCCCCTGCAAGAGGTTCAGTTCTGTCTCCTTGGTAGCCTATGCCTCTGTGGCCTCCACGCCCAGCACCTGCCTTGGGTTCCCCTCGCCTGCTGGCGGGGCCCCGGCTCGGGTCACATCTCTTGGGGAACTCAGGTTTCTTCTCCTGGGAGGGCCCAGCTCACACCATTGGGCGAGAGACAGATCCATGGCACCGGCCACCACGAGGCCTCAACTTCAGCGTGAACAGAAAGCCCAGGCTGCCTTGGGCTCCCCTCACCTGCTGGTGGGGCCCCAGCTCTGGTCACATCTTTTGGGGAACCCAGGTTTCTTCTCCAGGGAGGGCCCAGCTCACACCATTGGGCGAGAGACAGATCCATGGCACCGGCCACCACGAGGCCTCAACTTCAGCGTGAACAGAAAGCCCAGGCAACAGCTGTGGAGGGATAGACTGTGAGAAGGGGGTCCCTCTTGACACAAGGGCAAGAGGGGCCAGTACTGGACAAAGGAGAGTCCCGGGACAGGGCTTTCTCAGCCCAGGATGTCAGGCTCTTGGCACAAGACAACTCCACGTATGCGGCATATACCAGACACCCCCAGTCATGACATTGCCTTCATTCATTGTATTTTAAATCACTGTACATTTACTTTGTGAAAACACTGCCTGCATTTTTTAGTACAAAAAAACACTAAAAATTGTTTCAGGAATGTAGAGAAATATCCAACTTAAATAGTGAAAAAGTGCACCATAATTACTGCTGCACTGCAGTCATTTCTGCATTTCCCATGTTTCTTAAATAACTATCTTGTCTGATAACACACAATATAAAGAGCAATTATGAAAAACAGACATTTACATATACTTCTAAAGTCTTATTGAGAATATCCTGTTGGCATTGGATAACCAATCATAGGTGCAGCTGCAGTAGCAGGATATGCATATGCCTGTTGGTTCATACCATTGTGCATATTTGGAACATTACTTCCATATTGCTGAGTGCTATCATAACCATTCTGGTAAGTCCCTGTTGGATTACCAGTCCTAAAACTGGTCTGTATACCAGCAGACACAAAATTACTTCCAAAGCTCCCATTGGTGTAATTTGCAGCACTGTAAACACCATTCTGGGTCTTTGCCCCAAAATCTCTGTTAAGCAGACTAGAGTAACCCCTGTCATAATTTTCCCTGTCTCTAAAGGTATTAAATCCACCCCTTTTGCCTGCAGAGTATCTGTCCCGACGGTCATCCTTCATGCCTCCTCTACCCCTGGAACGACCTGAACCTCTGTCTTCAACCAACTGAAGCAACTTGGGATTAATTGCTTGATTAGCTTCACGAAGGACAGAGATAAGGTCGCTCACTTGCTTTATATTATTAGGTGTAAAGAAAGTGTATGCTGTGCCTGTTTTGGTACTGCGAGCAGTTCTTCCAATTCGATGAATATAATCCTCTGAGGAGTTAGGGTAGTCATAATTGATGACAAATTTCACATCTTCCACATCTGTAAGGTGTTGCAGTGTGGCAAAATAGCAATGTATGGAGTTTTGCACACCACAACAGCCAGACCAAAAATAAAAAGTTAGACATTTGTATTCCCAAGAAGGTACGGGCTGCAAAAAATAGTTAAAATGGTTATCCGTTCCCTGAAGGAATACCATTGAGGTTGGGGGGGGGAAAAAGAGGGAGAAAAAAAAAAAGCACACTTCATCTGTGTTATTGCCCACCCAATGATAGCACTTGTAAAAAGGATGTGTATTCCCTAACACATCCCCAAATCAGTAAGTCCCCGTATAGGTCATCAAGTGACATCTGAATGCTTCTGTGCAGTAGGGCCACTTAAAGGTTCACAGCAACCTCTTCATGTGCTCATTTTGAGGACCTTTAAACAAAAATGTACATGGTCCTTTGCATTACACACTCATCAGAAGTTCAAAATTCTGGCCACACTGCTTGTCTTGCCAAGACCTTACAACTGCAGCTGCAAGAAAAACATACCTGTCCCCAAAAAGTTGTTTTTATGCACTGTGTCTCGTCTAGGCAAGCACTTCCAAGAAGCCAGGATTCACTTGAGAATGTGTCTCTCTCTGGCAGGTCTCGACATGACGACTACTGTGTAGGTGAGGGAGGAACTTTCAAAGCATTGTTTTATTTTCCCACTGACTAAGTGTGGGAAGTTGTTCCTGCTCTAGAGGCTCATGTGCCAGTACTCACCAATTAGCAGTGGGTTCAGTAAAGTTCTGTCTTGCAATCACATCCATGATGTTTGCAGGGAAGTTTGCTTCATAAAAATTCAGAACTGGCTTTGGGCAGTTGTGTCCTCTAACTGTAATTTCCTTGCTTCTTCTGTATGTCTCTACCTCTTGCGCTGTGCGCCTGGCCAAATCAGGATGTTCTTGGTAAAAATTCTTCTCAAATTTGGGCAGCTCATCAAGATTCCACTTCTTTTTAACTAGTTTCTCCCCAGGGTTTCCAAACTTCTTTCCTGATAGAGGCCCTGCCCTACTTCCTCCAAATCGAGGTGCACCAAACCCTCGATCCCGGCCGTGGTCTCGGTCACTCGAATAGCCCAACATGGCGTCAATGATTGCGGTTGGCAGGGAACGAAGTGGAGAGAAACGGATGCGATGAGTTGCTGGTGGAGGCTTCAACGATAGCGAAGCCTTGAGGGGGCAGCAGCGGTGGAAGGACGGCGATGATAGGAGTGGGAGCTGCTTACCTACAGGCCGGTGGAAATGAATTCTAACCTCAGCAGGTCCAGGGGTCCCCAAAGGTGTGGATGAAGTCGACGAAGAAGGAATGACACGGAGACAGCGTTCAGTTGATCAGCAGCCTAGCCAGGATCTCTAGCCAGGATCTCCAGCCAAGTTCTGTGTTTTATTGTCTTGTTACATCTGTATTTATACCAGTTGATTTTAATCCTTTCAATTTCTATTCCAAAGGTTAGGGCGTTTCTTATCTCCATTCCAGGGAGTAAAGATTATGTAGCTTAAGGGTGATTGTTCGCAGTTAAAGTGATTAACTACCCGCCTGGCATTTAGTTAAGGGGTTTTATTCCCTCCCTAACTTCAGAGAAAAATCCCTACCTGGGGAAACAACCTTTCTCAGAGAGGTGACCTTGGTTAAAACACATAGTGCCAAGAAGGTGAGCAAACATATTAAGAACAGTATGCCATATATGCCAGGTCCCTTGAAACATATGCTGTGCAGATGTTTCTTCCCTGCAGCGACTGTGTCAAGCAGCAAGGATGGACCAGCTTCCGGCACCCACTGCAGCCTTACAGCCCATAGTTCCTTTCAAAGTGCACGAATTCATGCACTGGGCCCCTAGTTTCTCAATATTCCCCTACTGAGGTATATAATTCCAACACAATGGTGCCTAATACTGTTTTGCATTTCACTGCTTCTTAACTCCTATCCATCCATTCACCTATCCATTTATCACCTAACAAATTTACTGAGTACTTTTGTAATACCTGTGCTTGGCCTGGTAAAGGACACAAAAAAGTAAGACCAAAAGAGTGAAACAATGGCTATGCTGTTGAACTCACAAACTAATGAAGGACATTATGCATTAAAAAGTTCAGCAAAATATGACTATGAAGGATAGGGGTACATGCCAGGTATCCTGGGAGCTCAGTGGAAGCAGTGTTCTAGCCTGTCTTCTTTATGATTCTTTCCTCCACTCGGAAGAAGAAAGGCATTGAGCTTGGGAGTTGGAAACCTGGGTTTCACACCCAAATTCTGCAATTAATTTTGTGGTGAATTAGGTGAATTTCTGAGCATTCATTCATGAAGAAAAAAAAAATGAGATGGATAATACTTATAGAATTGTCAGTAATAAGAGCGAGCATTAATAATGCCCTGAAATCTTAAAAGTACTACGTGTATATGATTCCAAGTTTACTCAAAAGAGATCAAAACATGCCACTATTGACATTTGGGACCAGAAATTCCTTGTTGTGCAGGGGGATGTTCTGTGTATTTCAGAATGTCCTAGCCGCATCCCTGGATCTACCCTCTAGATGCCGGTCGAATCCTCATTTCCAGTCATGAAAAACAATAATATCTCTAGACCAGTGGTTCCCAACCTTTTTTTTGTCCATGCCCCACCTAAGTATCTCTAAAATCCTGATGCCCCCTCCCCCTGTGACATATAATTCTTATTATTCAAAAAGTGAACTCCTATTCACATGAAGGGGGCCTAAGAGGCCATTTACTTGGTCTAAACAAGCTTCCAAAGAACATGGCATCCATGAAAGAGAAAAATAAAAGAATGAAAGGACAGTTTAAGTACTGGGGAAGAAATCACTAAGAAATTGTTAAAATTAATAATAATATGAAGTGATATGAAAAATACCAAATAAAGTTTCAAAACATACTAGAGAACTGAAATGCGTAAATGTCACAATGTATATTTATATACTGTATGTGAGGACCCTAGAACCATAAGAAATGCAAAAAATTCACTGTTAATAACTCATTCTCAATTTTCCCTCCTTAAAAATCAAATTGCCCCCCTGTGGGGTGTGTGCTCCACATTGGGAACCACTGCTCTAGACCTTATGTCCCCTGGGAGGCGTGATTGCATTGTCTTAGAACCATTGGTTTGAAAGAAAGGAACTGTTTTTTTAAAGGTAAGTAAAAAGGAAAGAGCTGGTTTACAAGGCACCAATGCAAGCAGCAATTACTGTGTCTGCAACCAAAGGACCATCTCCTGGGTTCTGAGGGTGTGTTGGGTAGTCAACAAAGCTCCCGGTAAAACACCTTTGAGACAAGTTGAAGTGGGTGAAGCTGGGGAAATATTTTTGTTGTATTTGACAGTTATTATGACCTATTTTACCTTTAGCCTGATGTAACCTGGTAAACATTAGTTAAGTTTGAATGAAAAAGTGATTTTAATGAATGAAGTTAACAGTGTGTTTTTCTTAATGACATGGTTAAATTCATACATTACTGCTGTGGAATTAGAATTTTAGAAGCATCAGGTACATTAATCTACATTATACTGTTGTAAAATAGTGATGAAATTTCTGTGAAAATTGATCCCACACAGAGTTCTAAGATTAGAAACTAAGATTTTGATGTATCATCAAGTGTTCTGTTTGAATTCTGTGATAGGTAGCCTAAACGTAAAAGAGAGAACAAGATCACTGCGATGTCATCTTTATATTTAGTGGTTATTCATCACTTTTAAATATAGTTTTTATCATGACAAAGAACTTTAATTATTTTGATTCCATCTGAAATGTGTTTTGAAGCAGTAACAGGGCAGGAGAGGAGATAATTAAAGGAAATAGTAATAAAATTATTTCATTAACTCTCCCTTCAAAAGATGGAGGTAATGAATGGCTTTTTAAAAATTTTATTTACTTATTTTTTGCCTGTGCTGAATCTCTTGCCCCTTATTGAGGTAAGAGAACGTCACTGCTCCTTTTGGGAAATATTCCTTCCTTATTCCATTCCATATGGTCCTGTTGCTCCCTCTCCTCCTCCCAGCATAGTGACAAGCTCAGGACCTAGACTGAGCCAATTAGACTCTCCAGGGACTTTGAATCTTGGATAGAGGGATATTATTTGGGTCCCTGGTCCTTCTCAAAGCTTGACTGTTCAGGTTTTCCCTCAGTCCTTGGATTCTCTGAGCCACCAGTATCTTTCCAATAAGGCACATTCTTGCTGAAGTAATCCAGAATCAGTTTCTGATGCTTAAAACAGAAGCCAAAGATCTATGACTGAAAAAGGAGACTCTGACCAAAATACTATAACTAGTTGGCCACTATGGCTAAAGAGACAGGGAGAGGATCAGGAAAGAGTATGGAGTCAGAGCTGAAAGGTAGAAGTCTTGGGTCTATTTTGACCAAGTGTTGGAAGCATGGGGTCCATTTATTTGTGTTTTCTGTTGTTTGATATTTAATCTTTCACCCACACCATACTTACATGCAGGTACAGTTGTATAGTTGCCTATTGCCCTGATTAATTTCAGAACTCCCAAAATATTTAACTTTTTTCTAAATATGTGGCCTACTATTTTCCAGTAATGCAGTTACAAATATTATAATACCCATTTTTATAGGTCAGTTCTAAAAAGTTATACTTTTTATTTACCAATGCATTTTAATATTTTAAATGTTATTCATGTTCCTCATAAGAAACATCAACAGTAAAGGTATAAAATGAATGATGAAAGATCCATGTCACTCCCTTTCCCAAAGAGAGCACGTTTTTTATCTAGAACACTTTTAGATATTATTGATACACTTTTAGTTCCCGGTATTTCCTAGTACCTTGGCCTATTCACCACCATTCCAACAGGTAGGCACATTATAAAGCTTGCCTCAGAGGAGGGATGATGGTAGAGACGAAGCTTGGGAAACAAACAAACCAGATTTGCTTCTTAAGTTTATGAGTTTGGAAAGGCCTCAGAGGAAAAGCAGGGTCTTGTGTGCCCAGGAAGTGTAGGGGAAGGACATGATGAGAGTGGAGCTTCCTAGCTTGGGAGACTGGGTAGGCTTCCCTGAGTTGGGATGATGGGAACATAGGGGACTGGTCAAGAAGAATCCTTAGCCAGGAGCAGAGCGGGTATCCAGAGACACCATCCTTCACCACTGTGAGCACTGCCTGTCACCCAGCTTTCATTCAACTGAGCCTAATACAACTGCCACTGTGCTAGAGAGTGTGTTAGTTTTCCTTTTCATTGGTGTCACACCACCGTCCAACATCTAGCAAGAGAGGATCCCATCTGTGTCCTGAGAGGGGCCTATTTGGACCCTGTTGATGGCCTAAGACATATGCCAACCCCCTGGATCATAAGGTCCACCCATGGCAGTGGTGTGACAGGGAAGGCCCCAGCATCTGATTGAGTGAAGCCATCTTGAGATTCACCCCTTTCCTTCTGAGCCAATAAAATGGAAAAAAATACACTATTACTCACACATCTCCTGCTTTCCGTCCCTGTCTTCCTCTACTTTTACATAAACTATATTGTATTATACATATTGATCTTCAACTTGCTTTTTTTTCACTTAGTGGTATATCTTTGCCATCAATGTATAAAGATCTACTTAATTTTTTAAATGACCACTTAGTATATTACTAATTTGACTGGTCCCCAAGGGATGTACTCTAGCTCTCTACTTGTCTCTCCCTCCCTATCCTCCTCCCCTCACCCTTTCTCTCTCTTTCTTTAGGGTATCACTGTTTTGCACTTTTGTTTGAGATAATTCTAGGACACATTCTTAGACATAGAGTTGCTATACCAAAAAGTATGTGCATTTGAGCAAAAGCAAACATAAATATTAATAAGTTGTCATCTAAAATGTTTGTATCCCTTGAATCTCATAAGGTGTTTATCCATATTCTCTCTAACACTGGGTATTATCATCTGTTCACATCTTTGCTTATCTGATACATGAAAAATATATAATTTATTTAAAAATTTTGTCTTACCCTCATAATGACTAAGAATCCCTTCTGTATTTTGTTTGTACCTATTTAGTAGTGCAATCAAAATATTCTGTCTTGAGGATAGGGACTATTTTCTATTCAATGCAATAAATACTTATGTGTCTAATTGTACTAAATTATACTGAAAAAATATAAACAACAATAGCATTTAATACCATAGAACATAACAGAGAATATAAACATTAAAAATGTTAACTGTAGCCCTGGCCCCTGTTGCTGAGTGGTTAGAGCATTGGCCCGAGCACAGAAGGATCACTGGTTAGATTTCCAGTCAAAGGGTACATACCTGGATTGCAGGTTCTTTACCCAGCCCAGATTTGGGTGCTTGTGGGAGGCAACCAACTGATGTGTCTCTCTCACATCAATGTTTCTCTCTCTCTCCCTCTCTCTCTCTCTCTCTCTCTCTTTCTCTCTGCCACCTCCCCACCCCCCACACTCCCTTCCACTCTCTCTGAAAAATCAATGGAAAAAATATCCTTGGGTGAGGATTAACAAAACAAAAGAAAAATATTATCAGTAAAAGATTTCCCCAGAACTGGTTTTGAGTGGCAGTGGCTCCTAATTAATAGGATGAATTAGCTACAAAATATATCCTCAATTGAATAAGTGGGGGCATTAGCTAGAGTTATTTTGTATTTTGCACTTGGAAATTGGATATTATCAGCCAAAAATAATTTTTTGGCACAATTAATAATGATCTGTTCTCCCTGGAAGTGCAATAATTAGAAATCTGCTCAGTGACTTCTAATGTCACTACTGGTTTGTGACAGGAAACCATGACACTAGCATTAAGAATGACACCTCCTCAATTGCTATGGGACAAAGCAACAGTGACAGGCGTTTATTCTGGAGCTGAAGAAGGAGCTATTATATAGCTCTTTTATGATGTAGTTTTAAGTTAAAATCCTACCAATCTAGAGACTATTTCAACTCTGTCACAGAGCTGTTAAAAATGAAAATTTTATAAAAGCTTTGATAACACTGGATTTATGCTATGCCTTCACATCTTGGTCCATGGACAAGCTGATGATAGATAGAAAAAATGCCACAAATACTAGCATGTTCCAAAATGCTTCTCAAATTGAATTAGGAGGTAAGCTGGGGGAAAAAAAAGTGTTCCATATTCAGCCAAACTCCAGGATAGTTGTTTAGGAAAGTGAACGAGCTTTCTTTACTTTGAGATCTCAGGGTCTTTAATGCCACAGTGTGACTGGGAGCCAGTTTTCAGTGTTTCCCCAACCCCTTTGACCCCAGCACCAATTTCCTATGGTGAAATTTCCTGTGTTTTCCAGCCATCCCCAGGATCCACTTTTCTTTCTTAAATCTGATCAGGAGGCCTAACCTCCCCCAGCTAAGGGACTGGGTAGCGCTCTAAGTTAAGACACCTGAAAGCTGGAATCTGAATTGGGAGTATCAAAGAACAATAGGTTGGGGTCCACTTATTCCAGCCTGGGAGACACCTGGTCATGACATTTCTGCCCCTACATCATCCTGCTGTCAATGCCATTGTGCTCTCTGGAGTTGCTCTCACTCCTGCAGCTTCCTAGCTTGGGTATCTAGGTAGGATGCCCATCAGTTATCAGAGTTCCTGTTATTCTTCCATCAAATTCCTTTTTATTTAAACTGGGTAGAGTTTTATGTTGTTTTGCAACCAAAGGACCCGCACATTTTCTTCCTTAGCTTACCTGTCAATAACACTAGATTGAAACAGAGACAATGTCTGTTTTTTGACAACTGAAAGCCCTATACTAATAACACTGCCCAACACAGCCTAAGAACTCAGAAAATTTTTGTTGAACAAATTACTAGTGTTCTATAGCAGAGCTTTTGGGAAGCATTTTTTTAAGCTATGTCCTTAATAAGGAAAGACTGTATATAATGGTACCCAAGAGAGAAATAGTGCCTAAAACCTATTCATTCCTCTATTAACAGTATTCCAGAAAACACACTTGTGTTGAGTTTTGAAGGCTAGTTAACAAACCATGGAGTCACGTACTTTAGAGAAGTAAATGTTTTTTTTCCCCCCAATGAAAAACAACCACACTATAAATCAATCTTATGAAGCCATTTAGGAAAAAATCGCACTCTCTGAACTAGACATTTACTAGGCATTTAACATACATTTTTTTTATTTAATCCTCAACATCTATGTGTTAGTCAGCAATATTTCTTGAGCCCCTGATATGTGACAGACATTGTGCTTACACATAGGAATACAATAATGAGCAAACAGACTCAGCTAGGGCAGAAAGAGACCATTTTACAGTTACACAGATGGTGAGTTGGTGGAATAAAGATTATATTTCTGTGTAAATAGCTATATCTTTGCTCTTTCTATTTAGTTGTATTTAATAATAAACAGCTTCTATTTATTCTAAACAAATAGATAATCCAGTCAATATAGACGGGTTTCAGGTTTTAAGGACAGTCACCTTAGTGACAAATAATTTATGAATCTTAAAGGAGTGTTTTATTGACACCAATCGTTGTCAGTATTTTGGGTTCAAATATGCTTTAACACTTGTCTTCTAACATAGCACAGCATCCAATGAAAAATATCAAGTTGTGTATGAAAAATTCTAGAGAATTGCATTGCACCTAATGTTTGCCATCAGTTGTTTGTCATTCTTCCCCCCCTGCTCCCATCTTGGTGTCCAGGACTGCCAGATAAAGTAGGTCACCAGAATCCTGAAGTTCAAATATCAAGCCCTGAGAGCCAGCCAGCCATGCCCCAAGGGGTGAGGTGTGGTGCAAACAGCTTCAGAAAACCTGTAGGTCTGAGAGTGGAAAAATTGCTGAACCACTGATTTGAGACTAATGAGAATGTTACGGTCATCTCAAAATAGATCAGGGTACTGTTCCTAGCCCAAGTGTGGAAGAACACCAACCTCCAAGACATGGGACTTAACATTCTGTGAAATTCCATTTTTTGCAGTAGTTTAAACCCTGAACTTCTACCAAATAGTTTACTCTAATTTAGAGTTGTATCTGCTGGTAGCTTAACTCCACGTAGGACCAAGGTTTTCATTTCAAAAGTGGAATATGGTAGGTTTTTACCTAGTAAAACAACCCACTATGCCTAAGTGTGCATTTCTGAGCATATTTTACACAGGAATATGAAAGACCCACACGTGGCACAAGAATGGGCCAGGCCCTGGAATTTAATGGTGGTGTCTGGGGTTGGTGTTTGCAGTTTTAATGCTGAAGTGGCTGTAACCACACACTCTTTCTCATTCCTCAGGTTCAAGGCTGCCATCCAACCCTGGTGATCCCCGATCATTTCTTAAAGTTACTGTGATGCCAGTCTCTTCAGTACCATGAAGTCTACTATCCCAAGGAGGGCCACTATTTACCAGTAGCTCCCGCAACGCGGCCGGTTGAAATAGGGGCATTTTGAACTTGACAAGTTGGTTGGGTCCTGGAGAGGGAAACAGGGCCAGTGCTTCCAGACACACCAAGTTGGGTTCATAGCGTCTGTTCCCGCAGGTTGCGTGCCAGCCCTGGGGAAGGGAGAGGGGAGCAAGCAGGTTGGTTTCCTGGGTATCGGTCGTCGCCGGAGGGGCCGCAGCTGAGGCTGCCTGTGACCCCGCGTCCCGCAGCGCAGGTGCCCGAGGGCCAGG